CTCTGACCTTTTATATCCTCTCCTAGAAATACCAGCAACTCCGATTCCCAGTCATTGACCTTTATATCCTCTCCTAGAAATACCAGGAGCACCGATTCCCAGTCACTGACCTTTATATCCTATTCCCAGTCACTGACCTTTATATCCTCTCCTAGCCAGGAACTCCGATTCCCAGTCACTGACCTTTATATCCTCTCCTAGAAATACCAGGAACTCCGATTCCCAGTCACTGACCTTTATATCCTCTCCTAGAAATACCAGGAACTCCGATTCCCAGTCTCTGACCTTTTATATCCTCTCCTAGAAATACCAGGAGCACCGATTCCCAGTCACTGACCTTTATATCCTCTCCTAGAAATACCAGGAACTCTGATTCCCAGTCACTGATCTTTATATCCTCTCCTAGAAATGCCAGGAACTCCGATTCCCAGTCACTGACCTTTTTATCCTCTCCTAGAAATACCAGGAGCACCGATTCCCAGTCTCTGACCTTTTATATCCTCTCCTAGAAATACCAGCAACTCCGATTCCCAGTCATTGACCTTTATATCCTCTCCTAGAAATACCAGGAGCACCGATTCCCAGTCACTGACCTTTATATCCTCTCCTAGAAATGCCAGGAACTCCGATTCCCAGTCACTGACCTTTATATCCTCTCCTAGAAATACCAGGAACATGGTTTCCCAGCTACTGACCTCCATGAATTCTTGCGGGGAAGTGATATTAAGGTCGATGTGGATAACTTTGGGAAAAAGCCAGAAACATCTGTTTCCTTCCTCAACTGTTGCACCAGGTTAGTGCAATGATTAAATATGGTGGGCGGAAGGTGTTTATATTGAGGATATCTATTTATTTGTTCACTCCCATGTTCCATCCATGAGTGGTCTCTGATAAAACTCTCCTTTTAATACTCCGCAAATCCCCATCTTGATATAAACTGCTTTCCTTCCTATACAGACCGTGTGGAGACGATGACCTGATCCTGGCAAAGTGAGCCTCATGCAGAGCGTGGTCTGGACCTGCTGGTTACAAGATATGGTCCATAAAACAACGTTTAGTGTATCTGGTGACTGAATGCGTGAGTCTAGCTCAGGAGCAACCTCTTGTCCAGTTATTTCAGAGTTTAATTCTTGGCGCGGTTTTTCCAGGGACATGAATCACACCGAAACGCTGCTGTCTTATCACGTAAATCTGATCTACAACACTCCTACTTCAATAATAAATACTGTTTTTGTTTTATCGTAACTAATTCAAATATGTTTATTGAAACCTGTATACTCGGTGCACTATCCATGAGGAAGTACAACAGTCGGCAATTCAGTGTGAGAAATCTACTTTGAAGCCTTCGTCCAAACACAATGTTAATGTTTCAGAACTGAATTAGAACAGGATTCTTAGTAAAGAACTGTATTCGAGCACAAGTCGTTAATTTTGTAAATGTGTGTGGGAAAAGATTGTAAAAAAAAAATGATTTGTAAACTGATATAAATAAAGTAAATTCACTTTCTTTGGAAATCAATGTCTGTGAAATTTTGTTTTTGTTTTGCTTGGAATGGTCTAAGTATGCGTTCTGCATATTTTCAGAATTTCTGCAGAAATAATCACTAATGACGGACACAATGTTTTCTAACGTAAAACTTCAACCAATCTGTGAGCTGCTCTGATTGTTTAATTGCCCATGGTGGAAATAATGTTTAATGCTGTGATGCAGGGCATGGGCCGGGGGCACAAGGCTGGATCTAGGTGCTGTGAGAGCGGCTGAAGAGGGAGGTCCGGGTTGATGAAGTATATGCTCTGGGTTGAAGGGCAAGTGCCACATGTAGGTCAGAGTTGTCAGATATGTTTGGATTCTGTTCTTGGCTGCTTCTTCATAAATCCAGTGTTGGAGAAGCCAGCGTTGATAAAGTCAATGCTTTGGGTTCTTTTTAGTCTTGTATGTATAATCGAGAAAAGTCAACCCTTGGTCCCTGTGCTCCTACATCTCACAGGGCATAATCCCCACCGGTTATTCACCAACGTGAGAATTCAAGGTCAATTAGAAATTAATTTCAAATTTAAGGCCAAATTAGCCAAGTATGGTATGCTTTTAGTTTACTGACATGGCCACATCCATTTTTAACCCCTTTCTTGTCACTTCATTGACCCCAAGTACCCCCACAGTACTCTAGGTTCCCCATTTAATAATATTTTTTTTTTACTGCCTCCTTTTTTTCTGGATCTACATCCTAAGCACCGCCATTTAGTGTTCCTGGAAATTATGTCTACCTTGAAATTCCCACATATGCCCACTTCACAGAAGATGTGGGCACTTGTTTTCATCAGAATTTTGGCTATGCATACATTTGTCTGAAAGACAAATGAACGAATACAAATTACAACAAATAAAATGACTAAATTGTTGTCCCCCTAGCCCCCACCTATTGGCAGTGTTTGGGGCTCTAAATGATCATGGGGACCCATTGTCCAGTAATAGTGAGGGTAAGGGTAATAAACTGAATACCTGAACGAGTGTGTATTATGCCATACACCACCAGCCACGTTCCATACACCACTACAGCAGCCACGTATACACCACTACAGCAGCCACGTATACCATATACTACAGCACCAGCCACGTACACTACAGCACCAGCCACGTACACTACAGCACCAGCCACGTACACTACAGCAACAGCCACGTACACTGCACCAGCCACGTACACTGCACCAGCCACGTACACTGCACCAGCCACGTACACTGCACCAGCCACGTACACTACAGCACCAGCCATGTACCACACTGCAGCAGTCACATGCCATACACCACCATAGCTGTTTGGCTCCTTTTTAAATCATAATAGTAACAGAAATCACTCAAATGGCCCTGATCAAAAGTTTACATACCCTTGAATTTTGGCCTTGTTACAGACACACAATGTGACACACACAGGTTAAAATGGCAATTAAAGGTTAATTTCCCACTTCTGTGGCTTTTTAAATTGCAGTTAGTGTCTGTGTATAAATCGTCAATGCGTTTGTTAGCTCTCACATGGATGCACTGAGCAGGCTAGATACTGAGCAATGGGAAGCAGAAAAGAACTGTCAAAAGGCTTTGCATAATAAGGTAATAGAACTTTATAAAGATAGAAAAAGATATCCAAAGCCTTGAAAATTACAGTCAGTTCTGTTCAATCACTTATTAAGAAGTGGAAAATTTGGGGATCTCTTGATACCTGTAACATATTCCTCCTCACTAGAGTTGAGTGAACCGGAACATTATGTTTTTTGGACCACGGACATATCAGTGTATGTTCGGGTTGGAGTTCGGTGTTCGGCGATTTAATGACGCATTTTGAAAGGCTGCAGGGCCTACTAATGGCATGCAGGGCCTACTAATGGCATGGCTGTGATTGGCCAGTGCAGCATGTGACCCAGCCTGTGACTGCTCACTGTTAAAAAAAATAATTCACCCCCTCCTGAGCCCCCACCCGCGACGCGTGAGTGGGGGTTTTTAAACTAAAGGGAGGACCTATTGCCCACCCTGGCCCCCACCCCTGAGCGGTGGGTGGGAGCCATAAATGAGAATTTGGGGGTGGATCCCCCCCCACAGCCCCCACCCCTAAATAAAAATTTACCCCCCCCAGGTGACTAGGGGTCCCCAAACCCCTAGTCACCCCCCTCCCCCCAAAAAAATTACCCCTACCTACCTCCCTCATCCTAAAAATAATGAGGGGGGACCCTTATCTAAATACCTGTTAAAAAAATAGACCATTTGATGTCTTCTTTCTTCTAAAATCTTTTTTCAGCCCCAAAAAAGTCAAATAAAAATCCATAATAACTGACGCACCATAAAAAAAAAAGCGCAAAAAAAATAAAATATCCATCTTCACCCAGCCAGGGCTTCGCGCAGACTGAGCTCTGCAGCGTGGGGGAAGGCTTATAAAGCCTTGCCCCGCCCTGCAATTAGGCTCAGAGCACTCTGGTGCGTTTAAGCCATCCAATCAGAGTGCTCTGACAGGTAAATGAAGAGAATGACAGGTATGTCTCTACATTTACCTGTCACAGCACTCTGATTGGTTGATTTGAAATCCACCAGAGTGTTCTGTGTCATTTTACACAGCGTGGGAAAGTTCTTTGAAAGGAAAAGCACTCTGGTGGATTAAGTAACCAATCCGAGTGTTATGAGTCAAATTACACAGCGTGGGAAAATTCCAAAGAACTTTCCCAATAGGTCCCCCCTCCACATTCCTTTTTAGAACCCCACCCGTCGCATAGGGGTGGGGCAATAGGTTTTTTGTTTTTTTTCCAGTGAGCAGTCTGTTTACTAGACACGCCGCTACTCACGGTATAGCGAATAGGGGCTGAATTTACGAATACTAATACGTAGTAATTTTTACTTGGTATTAGTAAATGTGGCTGAAAGACCAATTTAGGTCTTTCAGCCTTTTGGTAGATAGCTCCCTAATACCGTGGGAATTAGGGAGTTATTTACTAAGCAGCTGCTTGTTATGTATTTTATGTTATTTTAAGTGTTTTCCCTATCCACATTTGTTTGCAGGGCACTTGTCCTACTCTTACCCCCATTTTACTTCCTTTTGCAGCCCTCTAGCCCTTTCCAGGATTATCTCAAGATTACAAGTTGATCCAGCATGCAGAACTGTGTCACACCTAGGACAAAGGATAACGTATAACCGGACATTGGAATGGCTGGACTTAACGTATTCAAGAATAGTCAAAATACTTGCTGAGATCAGACACAACGATGAGGGCAATCCAAAAGTCAAGGATACCAGAATTCAGGGAAGTCAAAACGAAGCTAAAGTCAAATACCCGAAAATCAAAATCAGGAACGGACTCTCTGTTTATCATCACGATGAAACCACGACAGGGCATTGAGCAAAAGGAGAATTTAAATACCCTTCCTGTCGATCCGATTGGCTGTAACCGGCCTTTGACCCCAAAAGCAATTACCAGGTTTCCATGTGCATGATTGCTGCTCAGCACAAACCCTCCTGTGGTTCTGATTGGCCATGACCGACCTTTGACCCCAAAAGCAATTACCAGGTAACAACAATGCCCACTTTTTTAGTAATGTGAAACATGCAGTTATCCTGACGGTATTAACCCCATTCCAGTATTTCCCCTTTAGTCCAGTCAATATGAGGGTTATGCTTGATGAGCCAAGGGAACCCTAATACGATGGGACAAAAAGGGGAAACGATTATCTAGAAGGTAATGTCTTCCTTATGCAAAGCTCGTATCGTAATGCAAATAGGTAAAGTCTCATGGGTAATCAATGGTAATGGGTAATCAATGGTTGAGATAGGGGTCTCCCATCAATAGCCTCAACCACTAGAGGTGATGATATCTCCTTGACTGGTATAGTATGTTTTTTTTAACAAAATATAAATCAATAAAGTTATCAGCTGCACCTGAGTCAACAGGGGCGTTGAATGAAAAGTTCTTCTCATTGC